GAGGTCGAAATCAACAAAAAGAGATTCTTTCGGTAATTTTTGACGGTGTTTGGAAAATGGTAAAAAATTGGATACATAGAAAGGGGTATTGAAAGATTAAAATTTTGGTAAAGTTGTCCAAAAAGAGCACAAAAAATTCTGACATACACATTTCTCTCTATGTTCAAAATCAAGGAACACAGCTGAACAAGATTTTGGAAATATTCGGTATCAAAATTCGATCTCTAAAACACTTCAAAAATGACCAAATTTCGTAGTGCCGATTCTGAAAAAACGAGAAAATTTTCAAAGTAATGAAGTCTTTAAAATCTGTGGAGGTAGAAATCAACAAAAACAGGTTCTTTTAGTAATTGTGGAGTGGGTTTGGAAGAAGATCAAAAATTTCGTATGGAGGTCTTAAAAAATGAAGCTTTTGGTGAAGTTGCCCAAAAATTCACAAAAAATTTTGTTATATACTCGTAGATCTCGATGATCTGAGTCAAAAAATACAGCTGACTAAGTTTCACGAACCTTCAAAATCCAATTTTTAAAACACTTCAAAAATTGCCATATTTAGTATCTATTACCGATTCTGAAAAAACTGTAAGATTTTCGAAAAAATCAAACCTATTTAACATATATGGAGGAGCGTTCAAAAATTAAGCTTTTATTGAAGTTCTCCAAAAATACACACAACTTTCTGGGATATATATCTCGATGATCTTTCTTTCAAAATTCGAATTTTAAATGTTTCCAAAAATTGTCATATTTCATATTGTCGATTCTGAACAAATGGAAAAATCTTAGGTCGAATTTAAAAAAAGGTTCTTTTGGTAATTTTCGACAGTGTTTGGAAAAAAGTCAAAAATTTCATACAAATATGAGGGTCATGAAGCTTTTAGCGAAGTTGCTCAAAAATAAACAAAACAATTCTTCGATCTGAGTCGAAAAACACAGCTGACCAAAATTTTGGAAACATTTGGTTTCAAAATTCGATTTTTGAAACATTTTTGAAACATTTGAGGGCTTTTTAAAACTTCTGGACTTCGAAACGAACAGAGTTTTTTTTTGGTAATTTTCGATCATCTTTGGAGAAAAGTCAAACAACAAAAATTAAAAAAAAAATCTGGAATCTAGGTTTTTATAATCTGAATCGAAAAACACATCTGACCAAGATTTTCGAAATATGTAGTCGGTTTCAAAATTCGATTTTTAACAATTTCGAAAATAGCCACTTTTTATATGCTATTTCTGAAACGTTAAGATTTTTAAAGAAATGAAGCCTTTTTAAAACTTCTGGAAGTCGAAATCAACAGAAATAGATTATTTTTGGCTGTGTTTAGAGAAAGCTCAAAAATTTCATATTTCATGAAAAATTAAGCTTTTAGGGAATTGCCCAAAGAAAAATAAATTGTTTTGGTAGTTTTCGACGGTTTTTGGAGAATCGTCAGAAATTGTCATATTTTGTAATGCCGGTTCAGAAAAAATGGGAAAATTTTCGAAAAAATAGCTCTTTTAAAACTCTGAAGGTTGAAATCAGTAAAAAAAAGGTCAAAAATTTCATGCATTCATGGGGGGTCTTGAAAAATTAGCCTCTTAGGTTTTAGTTGCCCAAAAATTCACAAAAATTCACAAAAATTCTGGGATATAGATCTCGATGACCTGAGTTGAAAAACACAACTGACCAAATTTTTAACAATATTCGGCGTCAAAATTGTATTTTTTAATCTTTTTAAAACTTTTGGATATCGAAATTGCCCAAAAATGCACAGAAAAATTATGAGTATGAAGTTATCGAGATCTAGGATGATCTTAATCGAAAAATACAGCTGACCAAGATTTTCAAAATATTCAGTTTCCAAATACGATTTTTAAAACTTGTCAAAAATTGCCATATTTCGTACATATTGCCGTCAGAAAAAACCGTAAAATTTTCGAAAAAATTTAGCCTTTTTAAAATTTCTAGAAATTGAATTCAGTAAAACGAGATTTTTTGGTTATTTTTGACGGTGTTTGGAGAAAGGTCAAAAATATACATACATGGGGATCTTGAAAAATTAAGCTTTTAATTAGTGAAGTTGCCCAAAAATGCACAAAAAATTCTGGCTTATAGGTCTGGACGACAGAATCGAAAAATAGAGCTGATCAAGATTTTCGAAAAATTCGATTTCAAAATTTGATTTTTATGACATTTAAAAATTGCCATATTTCATATTGCCGATTTTGAAAAAGAGACAAAATTTTAGAAGAAATAAAGCATTTTTGAAACTTCGTGAGGTCGAAATCAATAAAAGAAGATTATTTTGGTAACTTTCGACCGGGTTTGGAGAAAAGTCAAAAATTTCATACATACATGACGTTTTTGAAAAATTAAGCATTTAGCGAAGTTGCCCAAAAATACACAAAAAATCTGGATTATAGGTCTGGACGAACTGAATCAAAAAATAAAACTGACAAAGATTTTCGAAAAATTTGATTCTCACAATTTGATTTTTAGAACATTTAAATATTGTCACATTTCATATTATCGATTTTGAAAAAAAGTCAAAATATTCGAAGAAATAAAGCCTTTTTAAAACTTCTTGAAGTCGAAATCAATACAAAGAGATTCATTTGGTAATTTTCGACGGTGTTTAGAGAAAAGTCAAAAATTTCATTCAAACATGGGGTTCTCGAAAAATTAAGCTTTTAGAGAAGTTGTCAAAAAATGCATCTAAATATTATAAACCTGTATGCAGTTGACTACGATTTTCGAAACAGACGGCTTAAAAATTTGATTTTTGAAACATTAATTTAATTTTCGACGGTGTTTAGAGAAAAGTAAAAAATTTCATTCAAACATGGGGTTCTCAAAAAATTAAGCTTCTAGAGAAGTGGTCAAAAAATGCAGAAAATAGTTCTGGGTTATAAATCTGTATGCAGTTGACTACGATTTTCGAAAAACGGTTCCAAAATTTGATTTTTGAGACATTTCAAAAATTGCCATATTTCATATTATTGATTTTGAAAAAAAGGTAAAATTTTCGAAGAATTGAAGCCTTTTTAAAATTTCTGAAGGTTTAAATAAATAAAAAAAAGATTCCTTTTGTAATTTTTGACTGTATTTAGAGAAAAGTCAAAGCTTTCATTCAAACATTGGGTTCTCGAAAAATTAAGCTTTTAGTGAAGTTGTCAAAAAATACAGAAAATAGTTCTGGGTTATAAATCTGTATGCAGTTGACTTTGATTTTTGAAACAGATGGTTTCAAAATTTGATTTTTGAGACATTTCAAAAATCGCTATATTTCATATTGTCGATTTTGAAAAAAAGGTAAAATTTTCGAAGAAGTGAAGCCTTTTCAATAATTGTAAAAGTTTAAATAAAAAAAAAGATTCCTTTTGTAATTTTTGACGGTGTTTACAGAAAAGCCAAAAATTGCATACATCAAATTAAGCTCTTAGCGAAGTTGCTCAAAAATGTACGAAAAAAGTCTGGCTTATAGCTCTGGACGAACCGAATCGAAAAGCAGAGCTGACCAAAATTTTCGAAAAATTCGACTTCAAATTTTGATTTTTATGACATTTAAAAATTGCCATATTTCATATTGCCGCTTTTGAAGAAAGACAAATTTTTCTAAGAAATAAACCTTTTTTAAAACTTCTTGAGGTCGAAATCTATAAGAAGAGATTCTTTTGGTAATTTTCGACGGTGTTTAATGAAAAGTCAAAAATTTGTTACATACATGAGCTTCCTGAAAAATTAAGATTTTAGAGAAGTTGCCCAAAAATGCACGAAAAAAATCTGACTCATAGGTCTGGCCGAAGTGAATCGAAAAATAGAACTGACCAAGATTTTTGAAAGAATTGATTTCAAAATTCGATTTTTAGAATATCTAAAAATTATCAAATTTCATATTGCCGATTTTGAAAAAAAGTCAAAGTTTTCGAAGAAATAAAGTCTTTTTAAAACTTGTTGGGGTCGAAATCAATACAAATAGATTCTTTTGGTAATTTTCGACGGTGTTCAGAGAAAAGTCAAAAATTTCATACATACATGAGCTTCCTGAAAAATTAAGATTTTAGCGAAGTTGCCCAAAAGTGCAAGAAAAAAATCGGACTCATAGGTCTGGACGAACTGAATCGAAAATACAACTGGCCAAGATTTTTGAAAGAATTGATTTCAAAATTCAATTTTTAGAATATCTAAAAATTATCATATTTCATATTGCCGATTTTGAGAAAAAGTCAAAATTTTCGAAGAAATAAAGTCTTTTTAAAGCTTCTTGAGGTCGAAATCAATACAAAGAGATTCTTTTGGTAATTGTCGACGGTGTTTAGGGAAAAGTCAAAAATTTCATTCAAACATTGGGTTCTCGAAAAATCAAGCTTTGAAAGAAGTTGTCAAAGAATACAGAAAATATTTCTGGGTTATAAATCTATATGCAGTTGACTTCGATTTTCGAAAAACCGTTTCAAACTTTGATTTTTGAGACATTTCAAAAATTGCCATATTTCATATTGCCGATTTTGAAAAAAAAAGTCAAAATTTTCGAAGAAATAAAGCCTTTTTAAAACTTCTTGAGGTCGAAATCAATACAAAGAGATTCTTTTGGTAATTTTCGACGGTGTTTAGGGAAAAGTAAAAAATTTCATTCATTCATGGGGGTATTGAAAATTTGGATTTTTGGCGAAGTTGCCCAGAAATGCACAAAAAATCTGAGATTGATATAAATCTTCGCAATCTGAATCGAAAAACATAGCGGATCAAAATTTTCGAAAAATTCGGTTTCAAAGTGCGATTTTTAAAGTACATATTACAAAAATTTAAATATTTAATTCGTCGATTCTGAGAAAACAGTGAGATTTTCGAAGAAGTGAAGCTTTTTAAAATGCTTCTGGGCGTTGAAATCAACAAAAAGAATGTCGAATTATCAATTATTTAATTAATTTGATACTTGTTAAATTATTAAGTAATTATAATTATATTTAATTAATTAGAAATTAATTAAGGTAAATGATTTTAAATTCTGCTTTGTTTTTAGGCGCCCTTCGTCGAGGTGTCGACCATGGAAGCCCGCCGCCGCACCCGCCGCAACGTGGGCCTCAACTGCGACGACAAGATGAACGAGCCCCTCTGCTGCCGCTACCCGCTCATCGTGGACTTCGAGGAGTTCGGCTGGGACTTCATAATCGCCCCCAAGCGGTACGACGCCCACTACTGCTCCGGCGAGTGCCCCTACGTCACCCTGCAGCGGTACGCCCACACCCACATCACCAAGATCGCCTCCCCCAACAGCGCCCACCCCTGCTGCGCCCCACGGAAGATGAGCTCCATCACCATGCTCTACTTCGACCAGCAGCTCAACGTCGTCTTCGGCAGCCTGCCCGGGATGGTGGTCGACCGGTGCGGCTGCTCCTAATGGGCCGTTCTCTCTTAATTCGTTTTACTTTTTTAATTCCTCCTTAATTTATTCGTGGGACGCTGGCCGAGCTGGTGAAGTGTCGAGTGACTGGAGCCGCTTAATCTGTTGTAAATATTTTGTATAAATATGTGATACGTGTAGTCTAAGTTTTTTTTAATATTTATTTTTGTACATTAGCTAGCAAAATTTTTTACGAGTCCAGTGATAAATTGTTTGTTTTGTTCGCGAAAACGAGTGATAAATTTATGCACAACGGCGTTGCTTTTGTGATACGACGGCCTTAAGGGAAGAAAATATTTTTCGAAAAATCTTTCAGGATGTTTGTGATAAATTTCCAAAATTTCTACTGATGTAACATATTTTTGTAAATAAAGACTGTTCTTAGATTCGACTTGTTTTGTAGGATCTCTGATTTTCGTTTTTTTTTTTTTTAATTCGGTTAGTTGCTAAAATTACTTGTTTTGTGTGGCTCATGCAGTATTCATAAAAAATCAATCTTCATTTTTATTTTTTCCGTTACTTTTTTTGGTTTATGAGTATTGCCTGATTTCTCTATGTGTCGTGTGTTTTGCTTTTATAATTGTAAATTAGTTGTAATTAATAGAATTTTGCAAAATAAATACATCTACAAACGACTATGGCTTTATTTTTGTACGTCACGAGTTTATTAAAACGTGGTTCTGTATTCCAGTTTGACAATTGCTTGATAATGGTTGACCCTTCACCCACAACGTTAAAAATTGTATTAAAAAAAAATCGGAGGATCAAACATTACACACTCTTTTTATCATATTTCGTCATTCCGTCGTTATTCCAATCTGTGTCATTTAATTTAACCAAAAATTTATCTCTTCTTAGCTACCAAACGATAAAATTATGCACTCAATTTAGCACGTCTATGTAAAGTGCAATCTGAACGAAATTTTGAAAAAAATTCATACTCTTGTTACGCTATTTAATAATAAAAGTAGTAAAATAGGTGTACAATATTTAATGCCGTGAAATCGATCTCGCTGTGTTCTTTCTCCTTTAAAATTTATCGAAGTTTCTAAATCAAATTTATAACAGCGACAATGGCAAATAATGATTCTATTGTTCCGCTATACAAAGGAAAGTTGACGCTTAACCTACCAAATATTGTGTTTTTTTTTTCTCATGATCGAGCTTGTTTATAATTTAAATAACAAACCGGTGAAATTATGCACTAATTGTAGTTTGGTGCAAAAAACCTTAAATAACAAATAAAATTCTTCCAAGAATTAGAAAACCCATCTTCCTAAAATCAGGATATCCTTGGATTAACGTATTCGTATTTATTAACTAAAAGTTAAAAAAAGTTGACTAGTTTACAAGTGGAGAATCAAAATAAAATTTCCCATGAAAACACACAAAAAGTGGTTTGTTTAAGTTTTCTGGGCAAAAATGACAAGATTAAGTGAAATCATTTCTTTATACGCTACAAAAATTTGAGACGAAATAAATTTCGAGCCCTTTCAGAATAATACCTAAAAGATATAAGTCAAAGTTTGGTAAAAGTAACACTGCTACAATACCTTTGGAAATTAAAAACATACTAAATACGACCTACAATAATTGTGTTATCGAATCCATTTGACGAAGGGCCAATTTGATGTCTGCTACACGTTTCATGACTTCTAAAACGTCAAAAAGTAGGTCTTCCGTTTGCGTCTGTCGAACTGAAATCATGCAGTGGAGATTCTATTTTGCATTAATTTTTACATATTTTCAGTCACAATTTTGGTGGTTTATATTTTGCATGTTCTCAATTTTTCGATTTTTTGATTTCTAGATTTTCGGCTCCTCGATTTCTCAATTTTTTTTGATTTTTATTTTTTTTTTATTTTACGATTTTTCAGTTCTTCAATATTGTTTAATTTTTCACATTTTGACGTTTCTGAATTTTCAGGTTTTCGATCTCTCAATTTTTCAATTTTTGAATGTTTCGTTGAATTTTGTGATTTTTCAGTTTTTCGACTCTTCAATTTTTCTTCTATTTTTCAATTTTTCGATCCTTCAGTTCTGGGATTTTTTAATATTTCGACTTTTCGATTTTTTGGAGCTCTGGATTTTTTGATTTATCGATGTTTTACTTTTTGAATTTTCAATTATTCGTTTTTTAAACTTTAGATTTTTCATTTAGCAAGTACTAGCGCCGCCCACCCACCCTCTATTTTCCTAGAGGGTACGTAATTTGCCAAAATCAGTCTTATCTTAGGAAGTACTGTCGATTTGTCGATATTTCAGTTTTTCGATTTTAAAATTTTAGATTTTGGATTTTTTTTATTTTTGGTGTTTGTATTTTACGATATTTTGTCCGTTCTAAGTTCTAAATTTTCGATTTTTCGTTTTCTCGATTTTTTGATTTTTCAGTTCTTCAGTAATTCCATTTTCCAATTTTACAAATTTTGATTTTGCTATCTTTTCAGTTTTCCGATTTCTCAATTAATGTATTTTTAATTTCCCCATTTCTCGACTTCTCGAAGTTTCGATTTTTCAGTTCTTTGATTGTTCGATTTTTCGATTTTTCGACTTCGCTGTTTGGGTTTTTCGATTTTTCAATTTTCTAATTTTTTTAATTTCTAAATTCTTGAATATTTTTTTCAGTTTTGGAATTTTTCAATATTTCGATGCTTCGATTTTTCGATTTTTCCACTTCTAGATTTTTTTTGATTTTTCAACTTCTAGATTTTTCGACATTTTATTGTTTGGATTTTCAGTTTTTCGTTTTTTAAGCTTTAGATTTATAAATTTTTCGACTGTTATATACTTCGATTTCTCAATTTTTATCTCTTCGATATTTTAACTTTCCAATTTTTAAAATTGTAAGTTTTTCAATTTTTTGAGTCTTCAGTTCTTCTATATTTCAATTTTATTTTTCAATTTTCGGATTTTTTGAAAAGTTAAAAATGGAAAAATTGACAAATCAAGAGATTGAATAATCAAAACATCGAAATATCCGAATCCCGATAAATCGAGATCTCAAAAAATTGAAAAGTCGAAAATTTAAAAATTCGGAAAATTGAAAAATTAAATTAGGAAAAAACTGAAAATTCGAAAAATCGAAAAATCTAGAAGAAAATAAAGGGCGGGTGGGCGGGGCTAGTACTTACTAAAATATGACTGATTTTGGAAAATGACATACTTTCTAAGAAAAAAGAGGGCGGGTGGGTGGGGCTACCACTTGTTAAGATAAGACACTGATTTTCACAAAATTAAGAATTAAAACATCGAAAAGTTGAAAAATTGAGAAATCGAAATATAAAACAGTCGAAAAATTGAAAGAAATAAAAAACATTCAAGGGTCCAAAAATCGAAAAAGTGAAAAGGTCAAGAAATTAAAAATCGAAAAATAGAAAAATCCAGAATTCGAAAAATCGAAAAGTCGAAGAATGGATATATTTAAACGTCCCAAAACTCAGAGAAATTAGAGAATTGGAAAATTGAGGAATCGAAAAACCAAAAAGCAAGATCGGAAAATCGAATAATTGAAGAACTGAGAAATCGAAACTTTGTGAAGTTAAAAAATGGGAAAATCAAAAATAGATTAACTGAGAAATCGGAAAACTGACAATTTATCAACGTCAAAATTTGAAAAATAAAAATACTGAAGAATTGATAAATCAAGAAATCGAAAAAGCGAAAAATCTAAAGTTTATTAAAACATCGAACAATCAAAATATCCCAAAATTGAAAAATCGAGAAATCAAACATCAAAAATCAAAAAATTAAAATTCGAAAATGTAACATTTAAAAATCGCAGAATCCTCAACTCTTCAAAACACCAGAATCCTCAAATCCTCAGAACAACAGAATTCTTAAATCCTCAGAACACCAGAATTCTCATATCCTAAAAACATGAAAATCCTCAAATCCTCAGAACACCAGAATCCTCATATCCTAAGAACATCATAATCCTCAAATCGTCAGAACACCAGAATCCTCAAATCCTCAAAGGACCAGAATTGTCAAATCCTCAGGACACCAGATCCTCAAATCCTCGGAATTCCAGAATTCTCATAACCTAAGAACATGAAAATCCTCAAATCCTCAGGACACCAGAATCCTGATATCCTAAGAACACCATAATCCTCAAATCCCCAAAACACCAGTATCCTCAAATCCTCAGAACACCAGAATTCTCATATCCTAAGAACATGAAAATCCTCAAATCCTCAGGACACCAGAATCCTGATATCCTAAGAACACCATAATCCTCAAATCCCCAAAACACCAGTATCCTCAAATCCTCAGAACACCAGAATTCTCATATCCTAAGAACATGAAAATCCTCAAATCCTCAGGACACCAGAATCCTGATATCCTAAGAACACCATAATCCTCAGATCCCCAAAACACCAGTATCCTCAAATCCTCAAAACAGCAGACTCCTCAAATCCTCAAAACACCAGAATCCTCAAATCCTCAGAACACCAGAATCCTCATATCCTAAGAACATCAAAATCCTCAAATCCTGAGAACAACAGAATTTTCAAATCCTCAAAACACCAGAATCCTCAAATCCTCCAAACACCAGAATCCTCAAATCCTCAAAACAGCAGAATCCTCAAATCCTCAAAACACCAGAATCCTCAAATTCTCAGAACACCATAATCCTCAAATCCTCAGAACACCATATTCCTCAAATTCCCAGAACACGAGTATCCTCAAATCCTCAGAATCCCAGATCCTCTAATCCTCAGAACACCGTAATCCTCAAATCCTCAGGACACCAGAATCCCAAAACTAAAATAAATATCCAAAAATTGAAAAAAAAGGAAAATTTGGGAATCGAAAAACCAAAAAAACAAAGTCGAAAAACCGAAACTTTGTAAAGTCAAAAAATGGAAAAATCAAAAATAGATTAACTGAGACATCGGAAAACTGAAAATATAACAACGGCAAAAATTGCAAAATTGAAAAATAAAAATACTGAAGAACTGAAAAATCAAAAAATCGAGAAAACGAAAAATCGTACAATCAAAATATCCCAAAATTCAAAAATCGAGAAATCAAACATCAAAAAATCAAAAAATAAAAATTCGAAAATCTAACATTTAAAAATCGAAAAACTCAAGATATCGAAACCCAGGAATTTAAAAAATGGATAACTGAAAAATCAAAACATCGAAAAATTGGAACGAAAATCGAAAAATTGAAAAGCCCAAAAGTAAAAAATTGAAACACCGAGAAAAAGTCGAAAAATATCCAAAAAATTGAGAAATTAAAAAATTGGGAAATTGAGACATCGAAAAACTAAAGAAGCAAAGCCGAAAAATCGTAAGCTTAAAAAATCGAAAAATTGAAAAAAATCGAAACTTTGGGAAGTCGGAAAATGGTAAATATTTAAAAATCGTTAAATTGGAGAGGACAAAATTTGTCATCATTGAAACATCGGAAAATGGGGAAATCGAAAATTGAAAAAATCGAGAAATCGAAAATTTGAAGAATGAAAGAATTAAAAAAAAACCAAAATTGAAATATTGAAAAATGGAGACATCTAAATCCGAGGAGTTAAAAAAACGTAAAAAAATAACGGCCAACCGAGAATCGAAAATTATTTACAAAATTTACAAAAAAAGAAACGCACGAATAGGTTGCTGTGTTGTAAAATAAT